TCTTTCTATCTATCTATCTGTCTGTCTATCTATGTACCTATTTATTTATCTACTTATCTATCTGTCCATCTATCTATCCGTCTGTCTATCCATCTATCTGTTTACTTATTTATCTGTTTATCTACCTATTGCTCTCTCTACTTATCTATTTATTTATGTATTTGTTTATCTATTTATCTATCTATTTATCAATCTATTTATCTATCTATTTATCTATCTATCTATATACTCACCTATTTACTTATTTATTTATATTTGTCTGTCTATTGATCTATCTACCTACCTATTTATTTATTTATCTATCTATTTATCTATCCATTTATCTATCTATTTATCTACCTACCTACCTATTTATTTATTTAAATATTTATCTATTTTTCTGTCTATTGATCTATCTACTTATCTACTTATCTATCTATTTATTTATTTATCTGTCTATCCATCTATCCCACTATAAATCTATGCCTTTCTCTCTCTTTCTGTCTCTCTTTCTGTCTCTCTCTTTCTTTCTCTCTCTCGCTAACTCTATCTCTAACTGTCTCTCTCAACACTAAGCTCATTTCGAATCGACATTGCACACCTCACTTTCAATCTCAATCGTTCCATTTCTTTCGTTTTTCGGAATGTTTGAAGAGCGACGCCGGTCGTTTTCAGACGAGCAGCACACCGCCACCGCCGCAGTTCAGATACGAGCTGACCAATTGCAAGGAGATGCTACAGGGCCGCGTGCAGGTGGAATGGGAGATGATCGGCGAGAACATACAGATCAGGTTGTCGGGGCTCATAAGGGAGGACCAGTACGTGGCGTTCGGGTTGTCCGGCACCGACGGGAGACCCGAGATGATCGGCGGGGACATGGTCGTGGTCGCTTACAACAATACGACCGGCGAATTCATCGTCGAGGACTACTACATATCCGCGTATACGCAGTGCAACGGCCAGGAGGGTGTGTGCCCCGACGAGAGGGTTGGAGGGAAGAACGATGCCGTCCTCGTGCATGGGAAGAGGAAGGACGGGGTGACCACAGGTAGACGCCCCTCGATCTTTCGTTATGCAAATATTTTATTTTACTTTACTTTCTTTTCAGATGTTTTTCGTAGATATCTTATTTTATTTTATTTTCAGATATTCTTTATATGTGTTTTGTTTTAGTTTATTTTCATAAGGATTTGTTCATTCGTGTTCGACCATGGAAAAGGAACGAGTCACCCGAAACCTCTAAACCTCTCGAAACCCAGGAGTATTTCAAATTTCGAAAATTCGAAATCTTTTGTTACTCTTGCGACTCGAAACAGTTGAATCTTAGACTAAGAGGCGTAAAATCAATGAATAAACAATCAATTGCAGCGTGAATGTTAGCGTCCTTAATACTAGGTTTACGGACATTTATTGTAGTTTATGTTCCTAGAAAAATAGGCGTTCGTTCATTTAGATCTCAGAAATCGAAGGTTTAAGGATAGACCCATGGTTAGGTCGACCAAAGTTGACGTAAACATTCACCAAATAACGTTTGCAAAATCCAATATGCGTTGAATTAACGGGTTCCGTAAATCTACAGTTAAACGAGACTCTGAATTAAGTGATTTTCATCTGACAATAGCTTCTTCTTCTTCTTCGATCTTTTGTAAACGATGAACACGCTGAGATCTACGATCTGATGTCTGATTATCCGTTGTTCCGGTGATGTTCGCCATATGTTCCAGTTACCTACACGAGGCCGTTAAGAACGAACGAGCCGGTGAAGGACAGAATGATCCCGAATTCGGAGACCAGCGTGATCGCAGCGATAGGACCCTTGAACCCGAGAGGAGAGGCTAATGCTCACGAGAGCTTCGACAAGACGACCGAGGACATTCGCATTGATTTTTCGTCGAAGAACGTCCACGAGTGCCCGAGTTCCCTCTACAACCGACCGGACGCATTTGACATCAAACCGTGGCCACCGTTGATGATCACCAACGAGACTACGTTCAGCGTCAGGCTAGGACCCACTGGCGGGAAGAGGGGATACTCGAGGATTACTGGTAACAATCGAGAGATCCCCTATCATTATCAATCTTCAACATATAGACGAAAGGTTTCATTCTAAAAAATATTCGGCAAACACTTCAACTGCCGCTACAATACACCTGATTTAAGAATACAATAACAATATGCTCCTATTCGCAAAAACTATCGATGAATCTTGAAATCTCTAAGAAGAAACCGGCTAGAAAATCTTCCTTTCATTTCCATAAGTCAATGCAACCATAAATAACAGGTATTTAAGCGTATCCAACTATACAGTTCACACTGAGTACATTATTACCAGCGTCAAACGTTAAAAACTGATGATTTCATTTCAAAGAGCAGGTACCGTGTGAAATGAAAGCAAGTATTCATCGATACGCGATTCCAGTGTCAATTTACGATATTAAATAAATATGTATCGCAGGCATGCCTTCCCGGGAAATCGTTTGGTACATCAACGACCTGCTGATCCCGGAGGTTACCGTCGAGAGGGGACAGACGTACACGTTCATAGTGGAGGGCGGGAACGATCCCACTAATCCGGCCAGGCGAGTTGAAATTTCGAACTATTAACAGGGCAGGTTTATATTCCGCGTATTCAACCCTCCCTCTGCTCTGCCGTGTGTCCACGAGCGTCTCGATGTTCGATAATTACAATCGGAATTTACGGGGGCACATAGGCTGCGGACTGTTCGCGATACAAATTGCTCGCATAATTCGGCGCAGTAATTGGCGCCCGTTACACGAACGAGCGGCCCATTCCCTGGCGAATCTGCTTGAATATAATATTCCCGTCGCCAGGTACCACCCCTTTTACATCACGACCAGCATGGAGGGCGGTTTCGGACAGAAAACCGAAGAGGAACAGATGGCGCAGAAGGTGTTCGCCGGGGTGAAATACGACGCGGACGGGTATCCGTTCCCGACCGCTGCCGGTCGTTACTGCAGATGGGTCGACAAGACGGTGGACATGAGCGAGGAGATGGAGACGTTCGAAAACTTCTTCGAAACCCTGCGACTGGAATGCGACAAGGGCGAACCGGCAGAGCTTATTTGGACTGTGGCGGAGGACACGCCGGACGTGGTGTACTATCAGGTAGAAGACAATGGACTCGAGATGGTGTTGTAGAAAACTTGAAACCCGGAAGCTTGGAGGGTTGACTCTAATAGCTCAGTCTTGGAGGCTTAGAGTTTTATAGAACCGAGTTTTTGAAGCTTCAAAGCTGAAGGTTAAACGCTGAGTGTTGAAGGTGCAGGGTTTTATACGCTAGAGTTTTTGAACCTTCAGGGCTTAGCTTTAAAATCTGAGTGTTGAAGACATAAAGTTTTATAAGCTAGAGTTTTTGAAGCTTCAAGACGTAGAGTTCTATAAAGTTTTAATGTTCGAAACTTCAAGATTCAAGATTGAAACTATGCAAGCTCGATCCGAGTTTCCGAAAAATTAGTAATCTAGAAGATACAATAGAGGTTACAGTTTACTGCAGTCAGACATAATCACTGACAATAACGAGCCGACTAACCAGAGAGATACAGATCCCCGTGTCGTTCAGATGTTTACAACCCTTTCTCTGTTGTAGTGTTACTCACAGCGTAACATGGGCTGGAAGATAAACGTTGTCAGCGGCGCGTCCGCAACCCTGCCGATCATGTCGATGATCATAACGCTGGTCCTCGGTCTGACGGAGCTCTCGAGATGAATCCACTGACGGTCCGGCCGCAAGATAGAAGGCATGGATGACTGAAGAAGAAAACGGAGAACAGAATCGACGTGGGGGAGGGACACACACGACTCACGTGACACAAACGACGGTGATAATAAGATAACAAAAAGGAGAAGAAAAACACTGAAAAAAAAAGTAAAAAAAGAGGAACCGAAGATGGAAATATCAGGCTCGGCTGATAACACGATACAAGGTTGTAAGAAAGTACTTAGCCAATAAGGTTTAATCGTAACTTAAGAAGATTAGCAGAATATTTTTAAGATCTATCAGATTCAATATTTCGTATTCTACGGTATATATATACGTATACGTATATACGTATAAATATACATGTATATGTACATGTATATATACAGATATACACACAAACCTCTATATATATACATGTACATAATAAATATACATTACATACATTATATACATACATACACACATGCATACAATACATACAATACATACAAGTACGCATATTAAAGCGCACCGGGTGAAACGAGAATTCGAGAAGTGATTTTTAACGTTTAAGTGTTAGTTAAGAAACTAACTTTTTCGGGGCGCGAAGGGAGAAGCGGAGGAAAAGTATAATCGAAAAATGATCGGAGATCTTCGACAATAATACATCAGGATCAGAGCGAGCATGGGAAATTTTTCGACAATAACGTGAAACGAATGCTGTTCAGGGGTCGGGGTGGGTGGGGGGTGAAGTCGATTGCTGTCGACGATTCGAAATCGCGGGCAAATGTGTTTGAGTAACGTTCAACGCGCGTCGTCGTCGTCGTCGTCGTCGTCGTCGGGCGGTACACGTGATTGTACAATGTAAATTTTGCACAAAGCTATAGTCAAGTATAAACGTAACTTTAAAGGATCGAGTAGCACTTAAGGGTAAATACATTTATATATAAATGCTGTCGACTTGACAATAATACGTAGGGTAGCGCGAGAGGAACGACGATGAAGGGAAACTATCGCTGGGTGACGAACGCGAGTAATTAAAAATCATGTACAACGGCGAACGAATAAACGTCGGATCGTTTACAGGGCTGAGGGTGTGACACGGTCGCAAAAACTATCCCCCTTGTACGTGTAACAATGCTATAATTATGTACATACTATAGAGTGGACCTTCCTAAAACGGAATGAAAGTATAAAATGTGCCTTGGGTACAGATTACTGAAACTTTGTTTAATTAACACGAATTAGGAACCACTCGGACAGTCGACGCCCCATGGCTACTTAGGAACTGGTCTCTCGCGCGTGAACCGCGACGCTAATTTCTATGCGCGTGTATCGTGGAAATCATCGATATCTGTATAAGCATCGGAGACAGGACACGGTAAACAAATTGTTCGTTGCTTGTGTTCAACACGATATAATGCGAGTAACGTTTCGCTCAAACAAGGAGAACTATTTTAACATTGTATAAATCAATTTTTCATATTTTTCTTTGACCTATAATGGATGAAGCGAGTTTATTGTGTTATCGTTTAAAATCCTTAGTTACTAAAATCTGTGCCTCTCTCCATGCTTTAGATATGATACGTTGATTCCTCGTTAATGGAAAGAGTAATAATTAACTTTTAACGTTATCAAGAAATTGTTAAGGGTTGTAGAAAACGAGGAATTCTTCTCGAGTAACAAAATTCATTGGAGGCAAAAGGGAAAAGAACGACGAACGTGCAACCAAGAAATCAGAAAAATACATAATCAATCAAAGGTGGCTGAGATCCATGGATCTCTTCGTTGAGATTGTTCTCGTAGCTTCCAGCGTGTCCAGATTCTAAGTAACGGGGTGTCCTCAAAATTCTCAGCAGCGAAAAATTCTTTGCAATTCCGATTGCTTATCGCACGAAGACCAGTCTGTATTTAACTACATATGCATACTTAACATATACATTACATATAAATATATAAATATATATATATACATATACATACATACATACATATATTAAAACATATATGCATAAACATGCGGTACGTGTATACATATAAAAGAGAAATGAATTTGAAAAATTTATGTCATTTAGCTGTCGGCAGTGTCACGGTGTACTTATCGCTCGTAAACATTTTCTTTTATACACAAGCTGATCACAGAAACATCTACAAATTCAAACAGCAATTTTATATTTTCTCTTATTACAGATAATATTTTCATAGTAACGATCATCGGTTACAAATTATTATTAAATGTAACACAACGCGAGATCGATTAGAACTAAAATTGATGGACACTTGTATAACTGTGTGCATCAAATCAAGTAATTTCTATAACACAAATATTCTTCGTATACTTTTTATAATCGAGTAAGAACACATTAAAGTCAAGTTTCGTGATCAGTAACAAATACAACCCCCCAGTGTCCAGAACTCTCAGTAAAATAATCCCGCGAGCGACGAGCGCACTGTCCACGAAGCATCCGCGCGCCGATAGCGTCGAAAGAAAGACAGCGTTTAATTAGGGATACGTATTAACAACCATTAAGTAAACTAAGCGACAATAACGAAGACGGTTTGCTCGATGTTCGCGTCACGTCTGGGGCCCCGGTTCCAACGGGCTGGAAATACTCGACGGCAATTCTCCAAGGGGATCGGACAACAGTTTTTCCGCGTCCGCGACTTAGAGTATATCGTTGTTAACCGTTTCCTTTTTTTCCCTTGTTCCCCCTCACTCCGAACCCCTCGAACCCGTTCAACTCCCATAACACGTTCGCTAGCAGCGTCATTTGTCGCGGTCTCGATTTTTCCCTTGATTTCTGTGTAGGAAAAATGAATTTTACGCAAATACTGATTGGTAAATTGCTATAATACACTTTTAAATGAATTTTGCAAAAATTGTTATTTGAATGTTGCGTAGGAAAGGTAAAGTTAATTTTGCTCAAGTATTTATTGAAATTTTGCGTAGGAGAAATAAAGTTACTCTCACTAAGATGATAATCTGAAGATCAATAACACTCAGTTTTTGTATACCACAGAAATTCCTCAAAAGAATATGTCGCATTCAAGAAAATATTGCCATTACCAAAACCGTAATCGAAGCAAGTAGCTAGCAGCGAACGTTAACATGGTTTCTACCCCACCTTCCCATCCCGTCAGTTCCGTTTTCTTTTCTCGAGCGAGTCGGGGAGTTGACTAGCATGTAAGCGGATTAAAACTCCTACTTCTGTGAATGACAATAATAAGAGTACCGACTTGCCGAATTGGATGATTCCGGGTGGCTGCCCGCGGAGGCCGCGCGAGTCCGCGTGCCCGAGGCATCCATCTTCAGCTGTCCCGTCCCCGGCGTCGGGGGGCGAAGAGAGTAGCCTCTCGGTTTAGGACAATAAAGTAGGCACGCGAAAGTCGACACGCTGTTCGGACAATAATACCGAGTTAATGTATATTAAATCTATTATATTTGCATGATAGGAAAGAATTCTATATTTTTTCTCGGGCCAGTGAAGCGTATCCTACCAAGAAACGTTGAGGACTCTCGAGTCAAGAATCTACCAATCTAATGATTCCACAGCTTTCGTCGGATGAGTTCTACGAATAAAAGAACGATTAACGATATTACATATAAAATATCACATGTAACGACGTAAAATATATATTCGACGATAAGACGGAATAACAGATTCCTTATGAATTAATTCGGAGTAGAATCTATTGACTGATCAAAGTCACTGATAAGATACCTTCACCGTCTGATTATGGCAGTCAGAGCGACTTCGAACGACAAATCGATTTTTCTCCGATAGGGTAGCTTTCAATTGCAAGAGTCCAAGCACGTTCAAGGATACGGCTCACCATTCCCAGTTTTTAGACTACTCAGACAATAAAACTGTACTCAATTCCTTTAAGTACAAAACGTGGGCGCGATTGCGCGTCATGTAGCCGACGCGATGGCACGACGTAGGATTGACACGTTCGTCGATCGCCGCGGACGAATCTCGTGTCGTTCGAACGAACGGGAGATCTCGGATCAATTATTCAACTGGTACAAGTGTACAAAGACGAGGGAGTCTATCGCGTTAATCTATTAGTCGTAAAGCGAGTGTACAGCCGCGAACATGACGGAAGACAAGATGTCGGGGGTCGTTAGGTAGTAACGTAAAAATTATATCTTTTTATCTCTTCCCTGTTTACCCTCCACCGTTTCTCTCCCTATCTCTCCTCTCTCTCTTTCTCTAATTGTCTGTCTCTCCATCTTTCTCTCTCGTTTTCCGCTCGATCTTGTAGAATATTAAGAAACCACGCTGATCGTTCGAACCTCCGCGGAGCAGCCCTCCCGAGCAGCAGGCTATAAAGTCCTTCAAGTTGTTAGCGGTTAAGGAGCAAATAATAGCGTAAATGCGACTTTCGAAGGTTTCTTTCTTTTTCACTGTATCGTCGACGTCTGTGTAATTTAAACGAACCAGGTGTAACGAAAGTAAAGGGAAACGGGATGTTTGCGTGTGTATATGCGCGCGTATGTGTGTGTGTGCGCGAGATTGTACGGCCGATCAACGGGGAGCCATAGGTGTCCTACGTTGATCGGCGATCGGTGCGTGGCTTTCGAATCGTTAGCGATTACCGTAGCGGGTATACAAGGAACTTTTCCATTTTTCTGTCTCGTGTTGTAGCTAAGATCCATAACAGCGTTCCGCTCGTGTAACTTTTCTTCCGTGACGCGCCGATCTCGCGCGGGGGCCGCCACCGCGAGATTTTCATTTCCGGGACAACCGGTTAAAGAGGGAGACTAGAATGTGATTCTATCTCGTCAGCGCTCAACTCGCGGTCCAGCTGTCTAAATATCTTATAAGAACGTTCTTCGTCGAGCGATTCTGCAGATCCTGAATCTATACCATTCATATCACAATTGATTCGGAGTTGGGCGTTATTCGAATCGCTCGGGACAAATTATTTTCTGTCGAGTGCCTCGACTGTGCGGTAACGTTTCATTGCGGTGAATCATTTTATATGCTTATTCGGATAATTTATTTTTATTCGGTTCCTTGACAACCAGAAAATTTAAGAACAGGAATGTTATAATAAAGAGGGTTTACAATGGAAATAATGATATACAATAAGATTAACCCTCTGTATGTAGAACAAATTAGTCACATCCAATGAGAATTGATACAAATACTTCGAATAAATAATTATTCGAAAGAAGCTTGATTCGTCACTCCATATTTCAGTAGTCACGCAAAAATTACGCCCAACGTTGAATCGATTCGCTCTCTCGATGCAGACATATCCGTATCGAACATATCCCTAACATAAGTCTCGGCAGCTCGAGGCGATACGTTCAGCGCCTCGGCGCGAGGCAAACAGCGGACCGACTCCGGAAACTAGTCGTAAGGGTATCGTTAAGCGGGAAGCGTGTCGCGCGTCCCCGAGATCGGCGCCCGTGTTTCTGATTTCCCGCGAAGGCCGTCTGAGGAATATTTCGGAAGAATGAAACAATGAGCGTGGAGAGGCTGGAGGAGCAGTCACGTTCACGACGAACGATGCGATAATTGAACTGCGGATCTTTGTGCTATTCGTGATTTTTGATCGAACCTACGAAACCCTTGAAATTTAAACGGGAATTCGTTTCCTGCGATGAGCACGGTTCCCCTTGGGACGGGAATAAAATGGGAAACTCGCCGGAATTTCGGGAATTTGCAACGATACCAAGGCAGCACGAAGACCGCAATTTAATGGCGACTGACGCGGATGGAGAACGGTTGTACACGCGACACGGAGAATTCGGAGAGGGATTCCCCGTGTGGCGATCATTTAGGAAATAAGTGTGCGAAACGTCGTTCGAGACGTTTCCCGAGTGTCGAACAACTCGAACCGATTGTATAACACTGTCAATATGCATGTAACGACGAAGATCGTTTCGTTTCAACGATACCGTAGAGATACTCGGAGACTTTTAAAACTGGATATCTTTCTGAATCTTGTCCTCGTGGTAGAATATATTTTCACACTTTAACAGCACGGCGTAGGAGGCGAGCGAGTAGGGATTTATCGTACCGATGGCTCGGCTCCTCGCACTCTTGGCACCGCGAAGTTTCTCATGAAACTACGCGAAACCCTTTCAGGCCACGTCTTCTATAAAGAAGACGATTATATTTTCCTTTTCGGTGAGGCAGCTTGACAACTGGTTTCTACTTTCTTTCACGAGGAACGAAAAGCTTAGACTTTCAAAAACAGGATCGAACAGGTGTTAGAAATGTTGAGTCTACAGGAGAGTTCTGCCTGTTCTTGAATTAAAATAATATAATACAGTTTTAATACGTTTATTAATGTTTACTGATCGATCTAATTTCCGTCGTTACTAATGATCTTCCAGTTTGATTTGTGGATTCCCTGTAGAATGACTCTTCTTTGGAATCTTGAGATGACATTGTTGGAAAGAACTTTCCGATAGGCCTAATGTTAAATAATGTTTTCATGTGACGTTTTTAATGTTGTTCGGTGTTGTTTGTATTGTCATTGAGTTCTGCAATGCGAGTGGCTGATGAGTTTATGGGAAAGAAGTAAAATGCACTCCAGCAGTGTCGATGCGGCGGACAGAACGCTCGAAAGTGAAACCGTGTACAAAAAGGATACGATAAGTACGAATTTGTTACGATAGGCCGTCCTGAGTTGCGTTAAAAGTGTTGCGGAGATATTTTTGACAGACATTACTGGAGGAATCGCGCGAGCAACGTGTCGGAATGAAAGTATAGTGCGGATTGGAAATCCAAATCGAGTGCGAAGTTCAGAAGTATCATAAGACTTCTTTCGGAACGAGAATTCAAGAATAAAGTTTTACGCGGTACACTTTCATTCAACCTAGCAATTGACAAACTCTAAGTGAACTCATTTTACACAATATTTTATCCATAAGCATTGACTTCTAAATCTGAATGACGATTGAAATGAAAGAAGTAGCAGTCAAAGTATAAATTAACACTTAAGCACCCGGCAATTCGAGTGTACGATATACGCCAAACTTTTTATAGAATCATTTAACGTAAATTAACTCTGTTTTGATACGCTGAAAGCAAATCGATTTAAAAAGTATACGCAATATCATAGGATTACGTTAAAAATACTTTATTTGATGGGTTGTAAATTCAGTCGTAATGTTTTACAGATAAGAAACTTCACTTTGTTTAACCGCTTGGCCTATGATTTCTTTCTCAACTCCGATCGCTACTTTGTCATTAATAATTTATTGGAAAAAGAGAAAAATTCAGAGGAATAATATTTACTTTGAATTCGAATGTACTGAGTAATATATATATTTGTTGAATCACGTTGAAAATCTTCACCACGAGTCTAGCGCGTTATAAGGCAAGGGGTTAACTTGACAGAACAGAAACTCCCTAACGCGAAGCTAGGCGTTAAAGTGTTGGAAACGATAAATCTGTGAACAATGCGGAGAAATTATTTGCAGAATGTTCAAAGTTGAACTACAAAAGAAAGTCTCAACGTTCGTGCAGCAATCGATGCAAGTAGAATAGGTCCGCGCGCGGTCGGACGCGAGTGCGAGGAGCCGAAGGGGAGGAGTCCATGAGAAACATTTCCAAAATATCCGTAGATAGGTCGTTTTCGAACACGCTGACGCGCGCCCCCCATTAGCGTTTAGAGTATCCTGTAGCGAATAACTTAGTCGTGGTGAACTAACAGTGAAACGATTTAAGAAGAGAGAAAACGAAGAAGCGGATGGAAGAACAGCAGAGCAGAGACATGGCGCAAGTCGAACAAGAAACTTTGTCAACCACCGTGGAAGAACACGAAGGCAGAGAAGTCCGACGAGGGTTCCGAAAGAAAAGGGGTGAGTTTCACAGAAACTCCCGGGGGTCCTCGCGGACTTGAATAACGGAGGCGAATAAAAAAGAAAACGGAGGGAAGAAAACAGAAGAAGATGAAGTAAAATCGTAGTACATTATCGAGAACGAATAAAACAATTGTCAACCGTTTTTTTCAACGTTTACGTGTTAGACTAGGTTAATCAACAAGGTAATTCTATTAATCGTGTACTCGTAATTACTGTAAAAGTCAACACTCAATCGTCGAAATCCTCGTGTATGTGTGCGCGTGTGTGGAAGTGTTCCTTCGCCCGAGCGAGACACGCGCGGTGACTTTCGCGTCTTCTTCGTGGACAATGTTAAAAACGATACTTTAAAGAGATACGAGAGAGAAAAAGGTAAGAAAAATGAAAAAATAGTTTCGCGATAGATGAACAACTTTGGAACAGTAGACATTGAAATGAGAACTCCTGTGGCCGATCAGATTCATTTGTAACGTGACGCGCGTGTCGATCCATCGATCGCTCGGCAGGATCGTAAACTTGCCAACTGCATACAAAGATGTATACGAGTTTGAATTACGATGTCGGTGCAGCATGCCGCGTTGTCGGTCACGTGTATGTACGCGTACGTGCGTGCGTGTGTGTGTGTGCCTGTGTGTACATGCGTGGATGTTGCACGTGTCGTCCTTTCCAATCCTACTTTTTCCGTTCGTCCTCGAACAACGATCCTCCCCCGGGATCGATTCAGCGTAAAGAGATGTTCAACGAAACTTGTCTCGTAAAACTAGCAAAAGTCCTAGAATCAGCTGTCCCGCGACCAGACGTCCTCCCCCGTAGAGGCCAATCTTCGTTTCTCCTAGCTGCGGTGCTATAGGAATAATTTCATAGACTCATCCGAATGATTTGATCCGATCGCCATCGATCCCCCGGCGCGGAGAACGCGACCGAGACTACAGTTTCACGAGACAAGTCGAAAGATCTATGAAACATAATACGTTAACGAGTCGTTAAGTCTAGGGCTCTTAGGTAAACACTTCGCACGAAACGTTCGAGATTCAGATTCGTTCGAACGCTGCAACGTTTCCGATAGCTTTTCTAAATAATCGAAACATACGTATATAATATACATATATATATATATATATATATATTCCGAAGGTGTCTGACGATTTCCGTTGCCTGAACCGAGTCGAATTCCTATTGCGCTAAGAGCCCTGAAACGAGGAAACAGTTCAGGCGAACGTCTTGTATAAAAAGATGCACGTGTATTTTTCCGCGATCGTTTGTTTCGTTGGGTTTCAACCGATCAGTTGGGTATAGAATTGGCTGGAAAAAAGCCGGCCGAACGAATGGCCGAACGAAGGGGAAGCGTGCGTGCGAACGCCGGGTAACATTCGATTGGCCGTGTCCTTCGTTTTCGGAACGGCTGGACACGCCTGGTTCCGCGAAACGTTGATTTCCTTGATATAGTCTATGCACAGTACAGTGAGGTAATTAAGCGAGTTTCATTTGTAGCGTTCATCTGTCCTTACGAGAACACGAAGAAGGGGAAACGAACACGCATACGGACACGCATCAAGCCGCACGGAAAGAGACGCTCGCGCGTTTCCCGAGCATTAACACGTTCGCGACCAGCGTCACATATTTGTGACGCTAAACATTTGGTATCTTTCGTAAAAAAAAATTAAATTACACACATGTGTGTATTTAAAATCCGTGGTTTCAGATATAGGAAGGTGGCATTATATATTTTCTATAATTTTATTTGTATTTTATGAAGACGATTTCCTGCGTTCTATGAAATATTGTAATCATGAAGATTGCTAGTGAAACATCGGTCGCTAACGTGTTAAGGAAACTCGAAGTTGCAATACGAGGTGCAATGTAATCTAACGGGTGAAAAATGAGTATAAAACAAGACTGCTCTCGCCGGCAAAACAGCATCATTAACCCTCGGGAAATAAATAGATACTTAGGAACGAGGACGCTCTTAGAGCAAACGTTGCGGGGCTTTTTTCCCATGAATTCTCAAAAAAGGGAAGAGAACGTTGGTTTTTTAAAGGTGATTGTACAATCTCTATATTTCACGGTTGGATTAAAATATTACCAAAAATTGTCGGTGCTTTCGTTGAAGGATTGTGAATCATGCTGTCCGTGACATTTCCCCATCGAACGAGTGAACGATCTTCTTAATTAGATTAATATGTTGAAATTTAATTGGTTTGATCTGATAACGCCTTGATTAGGGTACACAAGTTTTTATTTTGGTCCTAGTTCTTGCGAAGTAGTTCATAGAAGTCTGTCTGTCAACTATTGGATTTATAGATTTGGGATTATTTTGAATTTATTGGAGGACTTCCGGTTTCGAGGATTTCAGGTTTGGAAGCGTTGAAGTTTGAGCTCCTGGGAATCGTGAGAATAGATCCCGCCCGTTATCCAAGAGCGGCGCCGTTCGGTTAAAATTCAATGTACGCCACGCGTCACGAACACCTTCGTTCTTCATTTATCGTGGTTTCCTTTGAGTTAATTTAGATGATTTGAAAAGGCGGAAAACATTTACATTTACAGTTACATTTCAATTCTGCGCGGATCCAAGTTTGTACGTATTTATCCATTGTATGCAGATCCACGTCCGAAGGATAACTATGTATGGTGAAGATATTAGCATTGCGGCCGCTCCTAGAAGCCGTGGAGTCACGATGAATTAATTATTCTCCAATGGAAAAATATCTCAGGATAATTGTACTCGTTCATTGTCTCCCCCTGTCCTATTTCTCCAGACCCCTCCTAAATTTTTCTTTCCCCGCAATGTTCCGACGCGTTTAAATCTACAGCTTTGACAGCGCTACATTTATTAATGATTGGGTAAAAAGGAGCATCTAAGTAATCATGAGGTATATAATATATTATGATTATGAATTATTGAACATTGTATCAAATTTTATATTCACTTCTTGTGGTTGACAATAAACTGGTTTTATAAAAAAGATAGAGGCGATTTTGTACAGGGTGCTATCAACGATTCGATCCGTAAACAATAGATACCTAATACATGTACAGTCGAATACTGAAACATACGAATTAGCCAGATCCCTCAGCACTGTGTAGGGATAGTACTTTCACAATAATCCGAATTTTATTGTGTACGAAATTTCTTTCAATTATCACCTACAATTTGCCTAAAAGGTTCATTTCGGATAGCCCCAAGGATCTTTCTTCTGATCCATCAGGATAAGAGATGATTCGCAGATTTTCTTAAACACTTCGCGTAGTCTGCTTTTCTGGAACACCTGAAATACATTAAAATGTTAATATGTTTCTAACTCATTCGTAAATTAAAATAATTAAGTAAATTATCAATCAAGTACCTGGTAAAGTTGATGTTGCTCCGAGGCTAAGATATCCGCTAACTGAATGCATCCAGCGTGCTCGTTCATTTCAGTCATTACCGAATGAAGAAGTAGCGTAATTTTTGGAATACAAAGTTGCCTCAGCTTCTCCATCTCCTCTTCTCGCATCTCTTCTTCCGGTGTATAAGATTCATCGTTACCGTTATTTGAGTCGACCAACCAACCACCATCGGGAAACAAGAGCACATTAAAAAGTAATTGTTTGACAGCCTGTGAAAAAATTATTAGCTTAGCAGATCTCAGTTCATATGTCACAGTATTTTGTTTTATTTCAATTTCATTTCATGAACCTTTGTATGGTGTTGCATCGTGCATTTCCACCTCGCCATTTCTGTATCATATTGTGCTTTTTTATGCTCGTATGCAACCTTCTCGGTGAAAGTGGCATAAGGAGGTAACTCTTCTAATGGAGTAGGTTTCCCATGATGATAATGAGAGAACCACTCTGCAAAACCCTCTTGAGCGTCCAGGTAAGTTTTGTAACAAAGGTACTCTCGAATCGCCGAAGACGCTCTTCTTGATAAATTATTCGAAATGGTAAGATTAGTTATAGTGCCCTCCATTGTTGGATACTCGGCCATGACAGATTCAATTGAATCTGCTGGAATCTTGAACAAAAAAGTAAAACGAAATGAAACATCAACGTATCTTGTAAAAACCGGAATCTTAAATTTTGAATGCATTAGTGATTCAACTGCTGTACTTTGAAATGATATGAACAACAAGTATGTAACTTTGCCAGTATACCTTATTAAATGCCTTTCGTGCAGCATCAATCTTTTCATTCATTAAGAAATATCTTATAAGAGCGTTAGTTTGCCATAATGCTTCCTTTCGTTGGCTTTGATAAAATATTAACCAATCCAATGCATTGATTTTTTCTAGATCATTATCAGTTATTGTGCCTTTCAAGTCTGTATCGTCAGTGTTCACATTTTTGGCACGAATACGCTCTACCACTAATTTTGTAATCGCTTCCACGTTCAAATTCGCATCCTCTGCGGCAGTTAAACATTTCTTACGCTGTTCGTAGTCTTTTATATTCTCCAAATAGCAGGCGTAATTCGTTATTTGAGACTCCTGAGGCAACATGGCAGTGTAGAAAGCGATTAAAATTGGATCATCCATTTCAATTAAGACGTGAACGTACGCCATCAGAACTTTATCGCCAACTTTATCGTTTACATTTTTCCCAATTTGTCGGAAAAAGAATATCAGGTGAGCTAAGAAGCGCAAAAAGTGAGGATCACAGATCCTCATATCTATCACATTCTCTATTTCCTCCATTAGTTTAGGTATTTGATCCAAAATTAAATATTTTTGAATCAAATGATCTGGTGCGTTCGATTGTGAACGGATAACTGGGTTTTTGGACGCATGGAGTTCTTTAAAAACATGTTCCAAAGAGATTTCGTTCTTCCAATAATCTTCGGGCATATTAGTGAAGCTTTTAATTACCAAATCCCTCACTTCCCTTTCAACTTTAATATCCAACAGTGTCTTCATAAATGCCCATAATGCATCCTGCCAAGAGGATGCAACCTGCAGCATTTGTTGGACATTTCCACAAAGGCTGGCATAAATGGCACGATAAAATTGACCTAAGTGACATATGATTTATTTAAGATTTGTTATTATTTTCAATCTCAAATGTTAGAATTATAATTTTTAATTTAATACGTTAGTTAACAAATAAGATTAAAAAATAGAAAAATAGTAGGTATAGAAATGTCTTTATCCATATTACGAAGAGCAAAATATCCTCGATATAAAAGTGTTATTACCTACGCGTTTGTCTTGGGAAAGGTCCCATGCACATAATTTCCAAAGACTTCTATTTGGATTTCCTTCAATAGGTAGTTTAGTATCAGACAATGGATTTTTATAATTAGGATCATGATAAGGTATCCAGCCTAATAAACAAGCAGCTCTCCATGGTTGTCCACAGTACTCAGCTAGTGCCTGTGCCTTTGAAAGTCGACCACAACGTACCTGTCACATAAAAAATACTTTCTATATTATATTGCCTTATAACATTTTCTTGTTTGATTGGTATTTTCTTTTCTTTTTCTTTTAATATTTGATTTAAGAACCTTATACCTCTATGAACATTCTTTTTTCAAGTCTTGCATCATCTTCTCTGTCCAGATCATGTAGAGGTTTACCTTCTCTGATTGGAGCATCTGGATCTAAAGACGATACTAATGGTCTACTCGAACGAAATGGAATTGAATCTTTATCCTTGTAAGTGAGTAATTGCCGAACTGTGTTCTCCCATGCAAGAGTTTTATCAGTAAAGTGTTCTGTACATGGATATTTATCTGCTTGATCTAATGCATTTTTTTCTAACCAATCAATTATTAATTGATATTCTCTGATGAAACTTTCAGTCTTAAATAAGTTATCTATTACAATTTTTTCAGATATGTAAGACACGGTTTCATCTGAATCCTCCTCCATTGCAGTGGGAAAGTTAAGGCTATTTATTCGATTTTGATATAGACAGTAAACTAGTCTCCATGTATTTCTTTCATTCTCTAAAGAAACTTCTTCTTCTGACACCTCCATGGTTTCTACTTTTGATTGCATACCTTTAAAAGAAAAATATATGAATAAATTGAATGTTTGATATAACAGTCTAAAGTTAACTAGCAAATATAATATTTTGTCAACTAGGCTGAAATATTTTTCAATAGTAACAGATGCATATAAAAGTTTGGTATTAACACAGAAATCATTTATAGAAAGTTATGAGTAAGTCTTATTAAATTCATTGTATTCATATCATTAATAATACTCTTCTCCATACCTCTCATTATATCCAAAGTGTCTGTGCAATTCTGTATGAAATCAGCAATGGTATCAAATACTTGCGCCTCTGAAAAATTCATCTGCATACTATGTAAAAAGTCATAATATAATTTAGACATGACATCCCTCCATGGCTCTTTAGCCTTTAAAATCATTCCAGTTGCACTGCTGTCTTCCATCATTTCCCTTAAAGTAAGCTCATTCTTTTCAGATGCAGCCATTATATCGCGTATTTCATGAGGTGCTAGCGTTAAGGAATTGTCCATGTCCAAAATATCATAACCTTTCATTAACTTTGAATTAATATAAGATTTATTCGACACTCTAGAACTATTAATGTCATTTAATTGTTGTGAATCATCTAAATCCTTTCGAGAATAATTACTGTTTTGCATTGATATTCTTCTGGGAGTTGTGCTTTTCCCGCTTAACCTTAAAAACGATTTTCGGTGAGCGTTTTCTTGATTATACATTTGAAGAGATCGATCCAAATGTTCAGTGGTATCGTTTATAGTATCCATTGTTGAATAGCTATTTAAAAATTTAACAATGTTTAACTAACACTATTTGTTATCTTTGATTCAACAAATGTTTACGAAAGTGTGACCATTAACTACCGCTGACAGTCATGCCGGTTTTCGAATTTTACAGGACTATCAACAGCAAAACAAAATATTTTCTTGAAACAGAAAAAAATTTCCTATATAAATATTATGTATATTATAATGAGAAACAATAAATATTTCTTAAATACCTTTTATTCGTTTACACAGTGAACTTAAATGTGAATGTAATATTTCGATACTAGAGATTTATGCTAAAACTTTGCAAATATTATAACTAAGTTGAAGTATGAAACCAATCAATATGACTACCAAATATGAAATTATACTTGACCTTTGCAGAAAATAATACATGCCAGATACCTAGATACAAGATGAGTTCCATAGATTTTTTTAGAAAAAATTAATTTTTATTAGTCATTATGTTTAATTAATATATGATAATAGAAAAAATTAACATACGAAGATACCATGGATTAATCAAAGTAGCGTGCAAGACAAGTTTATGCATGAAGAGCGCGACAAACAAAGTATTAAAACTATCTTTCAGATTATTTTATATAGAAAACATCAATTCTTTACTCATTTCACATTATATTGAAGTATACTTTATCATGTTACAGTTATAATACATTATTTTTTTACCATAAAAAAGCTGAAATTGTTTATATCTATATGCATAGGAGTGTCCTCTGAGAATCTAGTTCAAACTATAGTTGCTGTCTTCGTCGTGAGGTCTAACCAGACGAAGAAGTCGAAAAAATGGCGACTCGTCTGCTTAAAGTTAGTTCCGCGTTGCGAACTTATACTAACAAAACCGGACTTGTAAAGGTAACAAAATTATAATTTTACCATTCTGTCATTACTATTTAAATAGCCGACAAAGAGTCATTAAAATACATACTCTAATAATGATCATTTTATTGAGATGAAAATTCGTGTACTTCATTTGCGCCTTACGTAATGGAAACATTTTTAAATATTGTAAAAATCAGAGAGCAATAATAAGTTGTAATCTCTGTGACAATAAATAAAATTCACAAATTGGATTTTACTGTACAACCAAGAATAACTTGTCAGGATATTATAACCTCGATTGTTTGATCTATTACAATTATTGATGTGTTGCCATTGAATTTGGAGATTTGACAGATATTGATTTATATTTTAAAGAAGATTCATTAACTTAAGACTAACTCATATGAAATGAATTGATATGATAATATATTACTTTTTATGTTTATGACCTTCTAGACACAAAAGCGATGGCGTTCTACGAATCTTTCCTTGAACGAGATGCTTATCAATCTACCTGCTACAAGAGTTACAACTTTGGATTGTGGTATGAGGGTTGCAAGTGAAGACAGTAATGTGCCAACAGCCACAGTAGGGCTTTGGATTGATTCTGGTAGTCGTTTTGAGTCCGATGAAAATAATGGTGTAGCACACTTTATGGAACATATGGCTTTTAAGGTAAGTAATAATCTTTCGACTCTAGTTCAAATGAATGTTTGATGCCTTAAATGAAATAAAAAATATTAACAGGGGACTACTAAACGCTCACAAACCGATTTAGAATTAGAAATTGAAAACATGGGTGCCCATCTGAATGCTTACACAAGTAGGGAGCAAACAGTATTTTATGCTAAGTGTTTGTCCCAAGATGTACCAAAAATTGTAGAAATTTTAAGCGATATCACTCAAAATCCAAAGCTTGGTGAAAGTGAAATTGAAAGAGAACGTGGTGTCATCTTACGAGAAATGCAGGAAGTCGAAACAAATCTTCAAGAAGTTGTCTTTGATCACTTGCACAGTAGTGCTTACCAAGGGACTCCACTGGGTAGGACAATTTTGGGTCCGACTAAAAATATTAAAAGTATTACACGAAAAGATCTTCAAGATTATATAAAACAGTGTTATGGTCCACCAAGGTAATTAATTATAAATTGCACATTTCCATAAGATGCTTCTATCCCATCTGCATTATCAAGTTTATTAAATTCCATTCTTTCAGATTCGTTTTGGCAGGTGCTGGTGGTGTAAACCATAATACCTTAGTAGAATTAGCTGAAAAACATTTTGGTCAAATGAAGGGACCAATTTATGATGAAATTCCACTTCTCGATGTGCCATGTCGTTACACAGGTTCTGAAGTCAGAGTTCGTGACGACACTATTCCGCTCGCACATATAGCCGTTGCCGTTGAAGGTACTATAAACCTCATTTAACATTTTAGATTTATTATTGTATTTCAGAAACTAATAGACTTTCTTTGTAGGCGCTGGATGGGCGGATGGAGATAACATTCCTCTTATGGTTGCAAACACTTTAATGGGAGCTTGGGATCGCAGCCAAGGAGGTGGTGTAAACAATGCGAATCACTTGGCTCAAGCTGCTGCATATGAAGGAATGTGTCACAGTTATCAAAGCTTCAATACTTGCTACAAAGTACGTGTTATTGCTATGGATTTATTCCATTAAAAAATGAGTTTTCTTTTCTTACTATTTCTTTGTAGGACACTGGTCTTTGGGGTATTTATTTTGTATGTGACCCCATGAAATGTGACGACTTTATATACAATATCCAGGTCGAATGGATGAGGTTGTGTACGTCAGTCACAGAGAGAGAGGTAGAACGTGCAAAAAATATTTTCAAAACAAATATACTTCTTCAATTGGATGGAACAACACCAATTTGTGAAGATATTGGTCGACAGATGCTGTGTTATAACAGACGTATACCTCTTCACGAATTCGAGGCCAGAATTGATGTAAGTAATATTTAAAAATTAATTGCTTTTACATTATCTGTAATGAAAAATTCTTTGCAGAGTGTAACAGCTAAGACTATTCATGACGTTGGTATGAAATACATTTATAATCAGTGCCCAGTTGTCGCAGCTGTTGGACCAGTTGAAAATCTGCCTGATTATAACTTAATTAGAAGTGGCATGTACAGACTACGACTTTAAACAAATTTTTTTTTTAAATGAACTTAGAACGAGTCACCCGAAACGTCACTTTTTAGTGAAAAATTTAATATTAAGTTGAAACTACAACTAATTAAACTGTTTTACATAAGCATTAACCGCTGTTACAATTCATCCGTATTTATTCCTCAATTTAAAATTTGTAATGTAGATTTTACTGTACGCCAGAATACTAGTTGTAGTTTCACATTAATATTTGTTCGACTATTAGTCCTTTGTCGAACCATACATTGTATTGCCAGGCTTAAATAAAATAATTACTTCTAAAAAGTTTGTGCCTTGGTTCATAATATGGAAAGGGAAGAAAATTCAAATTTAAAGAGTTGAAGTACTTACAAAATCACTTGAATTTGTCAGCAGTACTATTCGTTTATTTTCCATTATTTATTTTATTATAAATAATGAACAAATTTTTGTAATGTAAACAGATTTATTGTTTTATTTCTTTAGAAGTTTGTACTCTTTCGCACATACTGTCCTAATTCTTGTTTTGTTTCAATATCTTTCATTTAGTACGAAATTACTGTAGTTTTTAATACAATTATTGAAATACTACACAATATTTAGGAGGTGCAAAATTATATGTACAATCATATAATTATATAATAATATAAATAATGTTAAATTGTTTCATAAAATTTGATTTACAAAATTATAATTACATTACCTACAGATAAAGAAGTAATTACTATGAAGTTAGCTAGTGTATTGCAATGACTATGCTTTCGCAAAATTGTGGATACGAGTCTTTCAGAATATTGTGTTATTCTTCAAGCTTGAACTTTAAATAGCATTTCGCGAATGAGCAGTAAGTGCATTAATTTCTTTCTATATAATTAGAAAGACATATACATGTACTAAAAAATTATAATCCCAAAAAGTGGGAAATTATTTTTAGTTTGGAAATTAAACTATATTATTAGTATTCGATTATAAAGTTAAGCATAATAAAGCTTTTAATGAGATTTTTTCCTCATATTGTAAATATTCATGAGAATAATTATCAAAATTGTAGGATACTAGTACTTTGTTATAATTTAATAGTAACCAATTTTTCCATCTCCTTCCAAAAAGATAATAAGGAAAGATGGTTTCTATCTTTGTACTTATATATTAAAAAAAATTTTACCTCTCTTTAATTTGGTTACCATAATTATGTTTTCTTAAGTTTCATAACTATCTAGGATTATGCGATGGTGTCTGCGTTGGTGATGTATCCTTACAAACTTTGGCAGTCATTTCAGCCAATGGTTCTAATTCTTTTGTATTTATTAACTCAAATTCTGTTACAAAATAGTAGAAGTGTTTGTAACATGTATTTACATGTGCCTCCTAAAATATAAAAATATCAATTTAATTTCTTATATGATAATAGTATTCTTAGAAGATTTACTATGTAGAAAGCTGAAACTTACTGCACCTATAGCCACAATTCGATCAAAATGATGTATATAGACATGAACAAACACTCTAAATAAACGTGTTAAGATTTTTCTGCACAAGGGTACAAAAGTTTTTGGAAATGGTACGTCTGAAAGAAAAATTTTAACAGCAATTATTTACAAACAATATGATTCAACAATTTTATTGTTAAAGTCTAATACCTGTTGAAACTGGAAAAATACATTCATTATTAATTTGTGCTTCTATCCAATCCATAAGGAGAGCAACATATTGCGGTGCTGGTAATGCAGTAGGTCTTTTATATTTTTCACCATCTGCCCATAAATATTCAAATCGAGCTCCACCACTCATAGTAGGACAAGATGCAGAATCACAATATTCAGAAATAGTACCATATATCAAATTTATTCTATTAAAAAAATCTACCACTAAAATTGTAATATTAAATATGAAAACTACAGGATAGATTTATTAATCAAAATATTAATTTTTCTAATAAAATCATCAAATACCATGAACAGCAATCCAATCATTAAGATCTTCTCCAGGTGGTAACTTTACAACGGACCTCAAATTAATTCCAGAATTGAGAGAAGCTTGTGCTTGTTTGTGCAAAGAATATCGCAGGGTCCCATGAGCAAATCTCTTCTTTGGTCTAAATGTCTAGAATATTAAATAAAACAGAAGTTTAATTATAAATTCGTAGAACAAATTTTACAAACATATTTTATATAACTTAAATTATAATAATTTTAGATATTCAAATCTTGTTATAACGAATCAATATAACACTACACAGGTTAGAGTATTCATTACAATGCAAATAAATATAATTTACAGAAAAATTACCTTTCCTTTTTGAAAGAATTCCATAAATCCACTTAACGCAGTCATTGCGGTTCAAGTTACACGGAACTCGCGAATAATAGACAAATACCGAGATAACCGGTAGTACAAATTTATTTCGGTCTACGCCTATACCGCAAATCAGATATATCTACCGCAACTTAAATATTGAATGCATCTTTTCATTTTGCTTTTGTCTGTGACTTTCCGTATTAAATCTATTTTATTTATCATTCATATACTAATAACGTTTTAAAAAATTAAACAATATTCCACACAAGTGCATGATCACACTTTTTTGGATCTGTGTCGCGCTAAAGCGTTTAGTCATTTTATCGATATCCGGTAGGTACATTTATGGTATTTAATTATTTCAAGTGAAATCCGTATCATTGCATTAATGTAATATTAATAAAGATGAAAAAAGAACTAAAATAAATCTGAGAGATATTCACTTTATTTAACAATTCACAACTGAGCGGGAAAAATCAAATTTTCGAATTTGAACGTATGAAACAAGCAGTATTAAAATACATATGTGAATATACATATGGTATATACTTATTAAATTAGAAAAATATATTTGTTTAATAACATTGTATATTTTTTTATATAAATAGTTTATTGTTTTTTACATAAATAGGCAGTTTAGTGCACAAAAGTAAAAAACTAAATGTTATCCAGGGCATCAATACTTTCCATTTTTTTTTCTTGAAATAAATGTAACTCTTACATGGTAATATATATTATTTATATTATATCTTTGTGCAATTATATGTACACTACTACATAGGCATACTGAAATTAATCTTATTACTTCTATTTTATCATTTTGTAATGATTTTATGTTGTATACACAAGTAGTGTTTTACTTCTTTTATTAATTTATTTACTTTCAATTCTAATTAAAATCTGATTAAAATTTGTTTTCACATGTAAGGTAGAGGTATTTAGTTAATCAAATGTTATGTACTTTACATAAATATTTTCTTTTATATATTCAATACATACATGTAATGGATAGTAATCCTTGGTTATGTACTTTGATCATATTATTTTACCTGTAAATGTACATTATATTTTCCCTTGAATCTCAAACACAGAGATTCACATTTGTAATTAATAATTCTGTGACAGTAGTCAATACCCAGATAGGTGGAATGATTCCTCAAGATAGTACAATATGTCGTAATTAATTCTCATTTAAACAAAAACAGAATGCTCACGTTGCAATCTCATTGCTGATCAACAATATCAATGAT